TTGAATGAATATATATCCTGTCCCTGCGCAGTCCAAATACCACCACAACTAGTACTACTATGAAGGTTATGGAGAATGACTACATTGCATGTTTGATACAAGCAGTAACTTCAAATCCCCCTTAGCATGCCCTCGCTGACACATTATAAGTGTGACTATCTGATCTAATTCCCACTGTATTACCTCGCCAGCAGCTATGATCATGGCAATTGTCTCTTCCTTATCTGGGATGTTATCAGCATCCGTTATCGCATTCGGCTGGAACGGTCCGGCTGCCCCGATCCGGGGGTGCATCGGGCCGACACGTGACCTACAACCAATGAACGATTGCGGACATAGAGGGAGGTCCGGTGACGACAGCGGAATGGCTTATCGCATCCCCCAGTTATTTTAAACTGGGGAATGCCCCTCCATCCATCTTGTAATTGAAAACAGCCATTGATACCCTTTTCCCTTTTCTTCTTGTTCTTCTCACTCCTCCCTCTCTTCTCTCCATCCTTATTGCACCCTAACCTTCATCATGCCCGGGTCAGACAAGATCACCATCTCCATCGATCGCGGTGGTACCTTCACTGACGTCCACGCCGTGGTCCCGGGTCGCCCCGACATCATCCTCAAACTACTTTCCGTCGACCCCGGTCACTACCAAGATGCTCCGACGGAGGGAATTCGTCAGATTCTTGAGCTCGTCACCGGCGAGTCACACCCGCGCGGCCAGCCGTTGAAACTGGATCGCATTGGGAGCTTGCGCATGGGAACCACAGTCGCTACAAATGCGCTGCTGGAGCGTAAGGGAGCACGGTCCGTGCTCCTCACCACCAAAGGCTTCCGTGACCTACTGAAGATTGGCGACCAGTCACGACCAAACATCTTCGATCTCTCAATGGCTAGACCCGGAGTTTTGCCCGAGCAAGTGGTTGAAATTAACGAGCGTGTCGTACCATGCCACCCCCTCGCCGACAAGGACTGCTTTCAGAATGCTCGCATAGTGGAGGGAACAACAGGTGAAAAGTTCCGGGTGGTACAAGAATTAGACATTGAGGAGGTGCGCCCGGTATTACAACAATTAAAGGAGAAGGGTTATCAGTCCCTTTCGGTTGCTCTCGTCCACTCGTTCGCCTATCCTGAGCACGAGCGTCTCATCGGGGAGCTGGCCGAAAGCATGGGCTTCTCGGTCACCTTGTCATCCAAACTCCAGCCCATGATCAAGGTGGTTCCCCGAGGCATGTCTGCCGCCGCAGATGCTTATCTGACACCTGTCATCAAAACCTACATTGACTCAATTTCGGCTAGCTTCGAGGGCGGGCTCGAGAAGCAGCACGAATGCCGATTTGAGTTTATGCAGTCTGACGGTGGGCTGGTCGACTTTCGCAGATTCAGCGGGCTGAAAGCGATCCTGTCGGGCCCTGCTGCCGGTGTGGTTGGTTTTGCTGCGACGAGCTGGGATCCTCAGGAGAAGACCCCAGTGATCGGGTTCGATATGGGAGGCACATCAACCGATGTGTCACGGTTTGATGGTCACCTCGAGCACGTCTTCGGATCCAAGGTGGCCGGTGTTCTCATTCAGTCTCCTCAGCTTGACATCAACACTGTCGCTGCCGGCGGTGGTTCTATTTTGTCGTGGCGCAATGGTCTCTTCTACGTCGGTCCTGAATCGGCGTCAGCTCATCCGGGCCCTGCCTGCTACCGCAAAGGCGGTCCTCTGACCGTTACCGACGCCAACCTGTTCCTCGGCCGACTGCTTCCGGAGTACTTCCCTCACATCTTTGGACCTAATGAAGACCAGCCTCTTGACACTGAGATTACGACTAAGCTTTTCAACGAGCTGACGCAAAAGATCAATACCGAGAGAAAAGAAAAGGGCCAATCCGAGTTCACAGCGGAGGAGGTGGCACTAGGTTTCTTGAAGGTTGCGGATGAGTCGATGGCCCGCCCCATTCGCAACCTGACAGAAGCTCGCGGTTTCGAAACTGCATCCCACCACCTGGCATGCTTTGGCGGTGCTGGTGGTCAGCACGCGTGTACCGTTGCGGCGTCCTTGGGAATTTCCCGCGTTATCATCCACAAGTTCTCATCTGTCCTTTCGGCGTATGGCTTGGCGCTGGCTGAGGTGGTTAAGGAATCGCAAGAGCCGGTGTCTACGGAGTACTCGACCTCCCAGTCCACACTTGACAAGCGCTTCGAGGACATGATCAAAGCGTCTACTGAAGACATGCAAGAGCAAGGCTTTTCGGCCGACCAAGTGCGCCACGATTTGTATCTTAACCTGCGCTACGAGGGTTCAGATACCAGCCTGATGATCCTGAAGCCTGAGGATAACTCCGATTTCCTCGAGCAGTTCCGTGCCAGGCACCGCAGAGAATTCGGATTCAATTCTGACAGATCGGTTCTAGTTGACGATATTCGAGTTCGCACAGTTGCCTCTTCAAAGGTTCGGACGGAGAAGAGCCCCCTTGTGCAGCTGAGGGAGGCCACCCTGAAGGATGTCAGCGGAGGTCCGGACAACACCTCGAAAGCGTACTTTGACGGGTACTCTGAGCGGATCGATACCCCTGTGTATCTATTGAACAAGCTCGAGAAGAATACTCGTGTGTATGGCCCTGCCGTCATCATTGACGAGACACAAACAGTCGTGGTGGCCCCGAATGCTGTCGCTAGTATTCTGGAGACCTGCATAGTCATCGATCTCGAGGAGCTCCCTCACGTAAATGGTGTTGAGGGTGGGTCCTCGGGTATTGATCCTATCCGGCTCAGTATCTTCGGCCATCGGTTCATGTCTATTGCCGAACAGATGGGACGCACGCTCCAGAAAACCTCCGTCTCTACTAACATCAAGGAGCGTCTTGACTTCTCTTGCGCTCTCTTCTCTCCTGATGGCGGCCTTGTTGCCAACGCGCCGCATGTTCCGGTGCATCTTGGCTCCATGCAATTTGCGGTCCGCTACCAGCACCAGAAGTGGCTCGGTGATCTGCGTGACGGTGATGTATTAGTGGCAAACCACCCTAGCAGTGGTGGTACACATTTGCCTGATATCACTGTAAGTCTACTATCCGCTCTCCAATCGACTACACAGCTAACAGCGATAGGTCATTACACCCGTGTTCGACCGACCGGGTGGCACCGAGATCATGTTCTATGTGGCTTCCCGTGGCCACCACGCAGACATTGGTGGCATCCTCCCAGGCTCAATGCCACCAAAGTCTACTGAGCTCTGGCAGGAGGGTGCTGCAATCGAGGGAGACAAAATTGTCAGCAATGGCGTCTTTGACGAGGAGCGTATGATGGAGCTCTTGGTCCACAAGCCGGCTCAGTACCCAGGCTGCTCCGGAGCTAGATGCGTCAGCGATAACCTGTCTGACCTGAAAGCACAAATTGCAGCCAACACCCGCGGTATCTCACTGATCCAAGCCTTGTTCGCCGAATACGGCGTGGAGACGGTGCAGAAGTACATGTATGCCATCCAAGCCACAGCCGAGACAGCAGTCCGCAACCTTCTCAAGGATCTGCACAAGAAATTCGGCGGTCAACCATTGGAGGCAGTCGACTATATGGATGACGGCACGCCCATCAAGCTAAAGGTCAATATCAACGGCGAGGATGGCTCCGCCCTATTCGACTTTGACGGTACAGGCCCCGAGGTATACGGTGGATGGAACGCACCCATCGCAATTACCCACTCGGCCATCATCTACTGCCTGCGCTGCATGATCAACGCAGACATGCCACTGAACCAAGGATGCTTGGCGCCTATTGACATCCAAGTCCCCTCCCCTAGCATCCTGTCCCCCACCAAGTCTGCCGCTGTGGTCGGCGGAAACGTGGTAACCTCTCAACGCATCACCGACGTCGTCCTCAAAGCCTTCCGCGCCTGTGCCGCTTCCCAAGGATGCTGTAACAACCTGACCTTCGGCACCAACTCCAAGCGCGACCCCGAAACCGGCGAGACTATCCCTGGCTTCGGCTACTACGAGACCATTGCCGGAGGCAGCGGTGCCGGTCCCACATGGAGCGGAGAATCCGGTATCCACGTACACATGACCAACACGCGTATCACCGATCCGGAGATTCTGGAGAAGCGCTACCCAACACTGCTCCGACAGTTCACCCTCCGAGAGGGATCCGGAGGCAAGGGAAAGAACCCTGGTGGTGACGGTGTGGTTCGCGATATCGAGTTCCTGTCCCCCATGGAAGTGTCAATTCTTTCTGAGAGGCGTGTTTACCGCCCGTACGGACTCGAAGGTGGAGAGGATGCTCAGCCCGGAATGAACCTCTGGGTTACAAAGGATGTGGATACGGGCGTGGAGCGCGTGGTCAACATTGGAGGAAAGAACACTGTGTCAATGAAGACGCATGATCGCATTGTAATCAATACTGCTGGTGGAGGTGGATGGGGAGCTGTATCTGCATGAGGGGGTTGATGTTTTATGATGTTTATATGAGCATGTATGGGTATTAGCTTATAGGATTGTATGACTGTTATAGTATTATTCACGAATAAGAATGTTTCAAATACTGTTCCAAGGTTTATATACCTATTACCTATGGATCAGAATTAATTATGGGGTGCTCCTGCTTCCGCATGATACCATTTTGGGTTGAAACAAGACTGATACGACGCCATTGTGACAAAGTCATGTATGTGGAAAGGCAGGGCTTCGTATCATCCAGAATGAGACTTGATTGGTTAATGACTTCTGTAGGGTACAGATCCGATAGAAGGGAAAAAGGAAGTAGGGGAAAAAACAGAAAGAAGAAGAGGAAGAGGAAGAGGAAGAAAAAGAAAAGGAAAAAGAAAAAGAAAAAGAAAAAGAAAAGGAAAAAGAAAAAGAAAAGGAAAAGAAAAAGAAAAGATCTCCTTGAAGGCTTGAGATGAGATGTCTACTACTATAAAAATGTAGCCAAGGAACGACTGCTTCGAAGGTGATACAAAACTTCGTGTTTGTAGAAGTAAGAAGTGCTTTGCACGCACATGTCAACTTCATTATTAGCTAAAGCAGCAACTAAAGTGGCACTCCTCTAACATCGACCGACACTTGACTTGGAGCGCTACCTGCCGAAGTCCTGTCCGAATCATAGTCCGCCTCGTCATTTGCAGCAGAAAAGTCTCTTGTGTCATGAGAGGGCGACGGGTGAGGCCTACCACTATCTGACGTATCTAACACCACTATCTGAGCTGGATAAACAACCACCTCTTCGTCTCCTTTGCCATCGTCATCGCCCTTTCTCACTACCAAAGGGAAAAGGACTAAGCGAACAACAGCCTGTTCACTTTGTGCCTGTTCATCTGATGCATACACGCCACTCTCATCATGCATCAACGAGGCGTTGAAGAAGATCTGATTTGTCAAGTTGCCTTGGCTGTCATACTCTGGCTGAAGAGGGGGTAGCATAATGTAATCTGCCATTTGCGTACGCATTTCAACAGAGAGTTTCACAGCAAGGCGTAATACCTCGTCGAGCTCCTCGCGCAGTCGAGGCTTATAAGGACTCCTTTCCGATAGTATAGACATCAGTGTATCGATAATAGTAAGTGAAATAGCTTGAATATCACGCTCTTGCTGCTGTTTCAACTCAGTATCCTGGGATAATAAATTCAACGTCGTGGCTCGCCAGCGATGGACTACTTCCTGTGGCAGAGTCTGCCCTAATTCCTTCTCTAACCGCTTGATTCCTGAGCGTATTGACCGTTCCAAGCCGAATAGGTACCGTGTGAATATGAGTTCCCAGATCATAGTCATCGTGACGGACATGAAGATATTTCGCCGGTGAATAGGGTAGGCAAGAAGCGCATCAACGTCGGATCCATTCAGTATGGCATCGCGGAATCGATCACGACTATTTGCGGGATGCAGGTCATCGAGTGAGCGACATAACACATCACTGAAGGGTTCCAAAAAATTGGAAACCCAGTCGAAACACAGCCGAAAAAGCGTGTCCAATGAATCGTGAAAATGATTTATATTATAAAGGACAATACTGGTACTCAGTGATTCGCCGGCGGAATTGATATCCTGTGGGAGACTGGGTTGGCTAAGAACCATCTCAGAAAATGAAGAGAATCCAGTAGCTACTGCTCCGGCGTTAATGGCAGCTTCAGCCTTCCGAGCTCTGTGGAGCGGAGTTGCATCGAGATCAATAAACCGTGACAGATCGTGTGACAGGTGCCTTTCCTCGGCCACTGATGATGCCTGGAAGCCTGGAGGTGCAGACTCGTTATTAGAATATGAACCGGATTCGGCTGGTGACGATGACGGAGGGTTATGCGATGCAGAACCTTGGTGTTCATCCTCTCCATCTGTGGAGGGTTCGCTGTCAGATGGGGCTGGCAGTGGCGGTCGAACGGCCGGAGAGTCATCATCATCAGAATCCGTAGGTACTGTGAGTGATAATGGTGGAAGATGTTGGGATTCGGAGACTCGGCCTACTTCTTCCTCGTCCAAAGGTAGATCGCTATCACGGCCAGCTGGCGATGATGGCGTTTGAAAGGGTGCCGTTACAGGATCTTCGTTCTCGATGCTAGCTAAGAACAAACCCATCATATCCTGGCTACTATCCGGATCCTCCGAAAGACAGTGGATTCTTTCTTCTGTCAATTGGTTGTTTTCCGTTGGCTCCTCGTCGTATTCCATGATAGGCAGATAGTCCAGTGGGTCAGACAACTCAATAGATCCTGATCCCGCACTTCCAGTATCTTCCGATCTTCGTGTATCCTCGGATCTTGCTGTATCAAAATAAGGATGATCTTCATAATAGCCTCCATATAAGTCCCAATTAGACTCAGAGTCTCCTGGCGCCCATGGTAAAGATTTGAGCGAAAATGAATGCAGGTGCTCGGCAACATGGTTCACAACGGCCTCGGCATCCAGATCTGTCAGCCCACAGAGCGGACATGATCCAACTGTGACTGGAGTTTTCCGACGCCAGGCAGAGACCAACATCTGTATTTGGTGGGGCTTGATATATCATCGAAACGCAATAGCTCGCTCTTATCCCAGAGATTGAGACGGCTAGAGCGGGGGGAATTCTGCAAGTTGATCGACAATCGCCTTGGCGAGCCTGTTCAGTTTTGTATTCAATCAAACGTGCTGCAAGTGATCGAATCACCTGATCCTAAGTCCTCCCGTGGCATTCTCCCCATCGAAGGACGTTCACTAGGGCAATGGCTTGAACAAATACCTCATCTTTCGAACAAGGAAAAGCCTCATCTAGCCTATACCATTGCCAAGTCCGTCTGGCAGTATTACAGTTCAGCGTGGATGATGGCACCCTGGACTCACGGGAGCATTCAACTGCTAACTGAGAAAGCTGGCCTGGCAGATCATGGAAAGCCACATCCATATCTGACAGCAAACATGGCCCGAGCGGTGGTTACTTCTACGGACTGCTATAATGCCGATAACCTCATGCACCAATATCCATACATTCTAGCATTAGGGGTTCTTCTTATCGAAATTGTCATCAAGCAGCCCTTGACAAGTGAAGAATGCCCTCACCCCTTCAGCGAAACTGCGGTTAACGACTACTATACGTGGGCGTGGACAACGGCGCACAGAAGCAATTTGAAGGACATGGTGCATTCTATGTACGTTGAGGCTGTTAATAACTGTCTCAACCCTGAGCTATTTGGTGGCGACTCCATACAACAGTACGGGTATACAGAGCTGATAACGGCCCGACAGAACGTTTTATACGAGAAGGTTGTTTCCCCATTGAAGAGATTGTTTGAAGCCTATCAAGATGACTGGGGTATCCAGAGCGCTCCTACCGCGAAAACGCTCGACACAGTCGCTCACCATGTTATTCCAGAGACTTCCATTGCCTCACAATTCCCCCATAAAGCAGATTTCACGGTCGCAATATTCTGTGCTTTACCGCTAGAGGCTAATGCGGTCAGTGCTCTGTTTGATGAAAGATTTGAAGACATCAGCCTGTATAGGAATTCATCGGGAGACTCGAACACGTACACACTCGGTCGAATGGGTCGCAATAACACCGCATTGGTACATCTTCCGGGTATGGGAAAAAGTGCTGCGTCTCAAGCATCCTCTTCAATACGGTCAACCTATCCGAACATAAAGCTCGCCCTGGTGGTCGGAATCTGTGGTGGTGTTCCATATGGAAAGGAGAGCAAGGAGACCCTCCTCGGAGATGTGATAGTCAGTGATGGGATTATCCAGCATGATTTCGGGCGAAGGATCCCTGGGGCATTTCTGCCTAAAGCATCGGTTGCCGATGGACTGGGGCGGCCCAACGTCATTATCAGAGGATTTCTTTCGAAGATAAAGACAACTATAGTACAACGGCGTGTTTCGAACAAAGTGAAGGAATATATGGGAGTCATAACTCAGACGCTTGGCAATGACACTGCTCGATATCCAGGAGTGGAACAAGACGAACTCTACGAGCCAAGCTATCAACATAAGCACCGTGGCCGCACCAGTTGTATCAGATGCGCAGTCTCGACCAGCACTACGGTCTGCGGCGAAGTGTTTGATCTATCATGTCATGAACTCGGATGCGGGAAAGAAAACATTGTCAAACGGAAGCGTCTTCAGGCTGCACTTACACAGGGGCATACTTTTTCTCCGGCAATCCACCTAGGTCTCATTGCATCGGGGGATACTGTCATGAAGTCTGGACAAGACAGAGACCTCATCGCTATGCGTGATAATGTGATAGCGTTCGAAATGGAGGGTGCAGGGGTCTGGGATAGTCTGCCTTGTCTAGTGGTGAAGGGTGTTTGTGACTATGCCGACAGCCATAAAAATAAAGTATGGCAACCGTTTGCTGCAGCGACAGGAGCAGCCTGCATGAAAGCTTTACTCGATGAATGGTCATCTTAATTGGATCAGAGCATGTAATATAAGCCACAAAGCCTACATAAATGAGCGCTATACTCAGATCATAATAGATTTCACTCTCTGATGTTCGGGATATAGTAATAGTATTGAAGACCAATGATTTAGCTGAGATAACTGGGGGATCAAAGAGGGTTTTATGCATGCTGCCGCAAAAGCAAGTATCGATGCAGACTATTGGTTTCCTGCGGCCGTTCGGGGCTCATCTGCGGGAAATAGTGCTAGGCAGCTACGCCGGGCTACCCACGGACCCCGGTGCAACTTGACTCCTCACTCTCTACATCTTCGTCCATCTCACTTCCTCTCACATCCCACATCCCACATCCCATATCCCATTTCCTTTAACCCAGATCCAAACAGACCTCAGCGTAATGGTCCTTCGCCAGGAAAGAAGTCCGCTCACTCCAGAGTTCGACGCTCTCGTTGACAAATTGCTTGAAGAATGGCACATCCCAGGCCTGACCGTATCGGTTGTGCACGGTTCCAGCACCTACGCAAAGGTACCACCACCGTCCAAATTGCCATTGACCTAAGAACTACACTAACAATGAACTGAGGCCTACGGTTACGCCTCCTTTCCCTCCACACCCATGACCACCACCTCTCTCTTCACAACCTGCAGCACAACCAAAGCCTTCACCGCCGCCGCAATGTCTTTAGCGATCGACGATAGCCAGTCCACTCCGCACCCAATCTCCTGGTCTACGCCCGTCTCTTCCATCATCCGTGACGACTTTGTTCTTTCTACTCCTTCTGCCACCACCAACACTACAATTGAAGACATCTTATCGCATCGGAGTGGGCTCCCTGGCCACTTCTTCTCCATCAGCCTCGCTCATCCGAATGAGACTTTGCGCACCGAGGTTCGCAGGCTTCGATGGCTACCACTGGCCTTTCCGCCACGAACCACATTCAACTACAACAATCATATGTTCATGGCTGCCACATATTTGTTGGAACACATAAACGGGGAGAGCCTCGGAACGACACTCAAAAGAAGAATCTGGGACCCACTCGACATGAACGATACATACTTCTCCACTGCCGAAGTGCAAAAGCACCCGAACCTGTCAAAGAGACTAGTCAAGGGCTACACCTGGAATCCGGAAACACACACCTATTATGAAGAGCAATATATCAACTATGCTCCGATCACCGGAACTGGTTCAATGGTTTCTAACGTGATGGATTACGCGAAGTGGCTGCGCGCTATGCTCTACCAGGCACCGCCTATCTCGAAAGAGGGGCACACAGCACTTCGTATACCCAGAACAGTCATTGCCGAGTCGGATTGGAAAAATATGCTCGCTCCCCCCGGTGCATACCATCTCTATACCATGGGGTGGTTTATAGACTACTACCATGGAGAACAATTATACTGGCACACGGGTAGCTGGGCTGGATTTGGGATAATGGTTGGATTTTTGCCCGCGAAGGGCTTTGCGTTTGCTATGATGGGAAATACCCAAAACGCCAGGATTGCAGAGCTAGATTTGTTCTTGTACCTAATCGATCAGCTGCTGGGGAAGAGCGGGGCCGAAAGAGAGACCCATGTGAGGAAGCTAGGGGAGAAGCTTAAGGAGATGGAACGGATATACAACGAGAGTGTCGAAAGTGTGGTAGCACGGTTGTATCCGGACCTGAAAACGAGGTTACCACTTTCGTTGTCGCTGGGAGCATATACAGGGACATATGCGCATCCTGGATATGGGGAGTTCAAGGTGTGTGAGAAGAGCGGCAAGTTGGTCGTTGATTTGAGAGACCGTGTGGGGAGCTGCAATATGCGGTTTGAGCATGTCAGTAAAGAATTCTTCGTCGTCAAGTACTATAATCCTGAGGCCGAGGCTGTGGGTCCAGACTATACGAAGGCCGAGTTTTATGTTGACGAGCAGGGAGTACCGAAGAGCCTAGGGTTGGATCTGGAGTCCGTTTTGGGTGAGAAGATCTGGTTTCGAAGGGTGGAGTGAGCTGTGATAATCATAGCTGCTAGCAACAGTGCAGGCCATTTCCAGAGACTGCATACCGGGCAAGTATTAGGGTTGAACATCAATGACCATCCAACCAGGACTCAAACATTTCCCAAAGCAGTAAATGATAACGATAATATGTTCTTCGAATTTATAATATTCCAAACAGGACTCTTCATACACACATAAATCGTATATGCCAATCATAACAAAGTGGACGACCCAAAGCTGATTTCATATCCATCCATTAATCACACCGATACACACTCACCATCCATCCAACCCACTCCTATCCTACACACCCAGAACAAACTCCACTTAGTACCCCCTCCACCTCCCAACATGCACCCCACCCCTCTTCGCCAACTCCCTATCAAACTCACTCTCCCCACCGGTGGCATTAACAATCCTATTCAACATCGTTCTCAAATCATCAAAGGTGATATTGTCCTTCGCACGAGTCCACCCCAAATCAAGCGGAAGACGTTCATTCTCTACAAAACATTAGCCAACCGTGGACTCTCCACTACTAATTCACCCCCACCAAGGGATTGGCCTACCAAAAAGATACTCCACCCTCGACCGATTCACCAACCCATTCTCCTTATCCCCAAGGACAATAATATACGCCGCCGTTTCCCCATAACTAAACGACGCACCCAACTCTGACATGGTATAATTCGGATTCGTAGCCATAGAGGTATTCACACGTGCTTGGCGAGACAGAGCAGCCTGCTTCACGTCAATGATAGGGGAGGTCCAGTATGAGCGGGTTTCGTCGAAGATGGTTTGGTTGAAGTCGTGGTTGTCGCCGAAGAAGGCGTCTTGGCGGCTATACCATAATACATACTGGGTTAGATGGATGGAGGAGTGGTGGGATTGGGGAGCGACATACCTCAAGCTGGCGTCATGTTCGAGGATATCATGACGGCTTAGATCATTCAAGGAGAAGGTAGTAGCGTTGGGGGTTGGGTTGGTGGTTACTGCTTCTTGGTGGAGGAATGTGGAGAGTTCTGCGTCGATGCCGAGGGCGTTGTAGAGGGCGTTGATGGTGTGTTGCTCGGTGATATTTTTGCCGTTGTGAGGGAGGTAGCCGTGGTTGGCGAGGGTGTTGAGCATTGGACAGGGGGCGCGTACTTTCGGTTCTGTTAGTTGTTTGATTATGTGGGTAGGCTCTATGGGGTGCTTACCATCGTTAGGGCCGGGAGGGGACCATGGTAGTGGGTGTGGTGCTGCTCCTTGTGATGGGAATGCTTGCGTTTGGGTAAGGCCCGCGGCGAGGAATAGTAGAGTTGTTGTCTTCATGATGGCGATGGTAGTACTAGAGAGTTGAATTTGTTATTCTGGGACTGTATCTAGGATGAGGATTTGATAGAATTTATATCCGTATGTAGGTCTAGAGCTGAGCCATCTACATTACAAATGCCAGAATATTACTTGTCAGCGTCATCTGGAAGGAAATACGCCCGCATTATTTTTATAATTGTGGAGTAGCAGTTGTAGCCAGTCATGGGTGAAGATCGAGCAGGTTTCGAGATGGCTCCGATCTGGTTGAGGGCACGATGACAGCCTTGAATAGGCAAGTCGCTAGCCATTTGGACTGGGTGTATACGAGCACAGCGGTGGCACCGTTGGCCGTCACCATGTATGTGATGCATCAAGTGTACGATGATTGGCTACACTGGCAGCTTTGGAATGCTCCGCGCAGCAAAACCCGCTGTACCCGTGGACAGCGATTTAGGACGCCTGATGCCAAGAGCTTGCTGTGACGTAATCACTCGTCCAAAGCAGTGCTGCAGCATACTTGGTGGCTGTCAACACCACAATAGCGGAGTTACATTCCTACATACCTGCATGTCTATATTTGTCACAGTCTGCTGCCTAAATAACGTCCCGTGGGAACTTGAAAGCCTGCGTAGGATTCAGACGGTCATATTCTGTTCTGATATTAGTGACAGCTGATAGGGGAATTATGCGGTGTTTAGATCTTGGCATTTTGGCAAACAAGAGTTGGAACGAGCTCCACTGCTAAGGCATCAAGATAATGTGATTGATCGGAGGCCTATTCTATTCGCGACGGGTAAGGGTATGAATCCTACGGGAGGCATAAGCCGCCCCGTGCCAAGGGATCTGCAGCCGAGCCCCAGATGCGGTCTACATTGGGTTTAGTGGCATCTCAACGAATACGATCGGCTCAATTAGGAAAAGGATTTGCTGTTTTGGGGCGGTGATTTCGGATACGCCGAGAGTAGCAGAATTGACTGTTGAAGTGTGTATGGGATATATCTGTTTACTGGAAGGGTCATATATACCATTTTTTAAGAGTAGAAGGAGTTGAGCTGTGGCAGAATGGTAGCAGCTGAACTCCAAAATAGCTATAAGTAGCCAAGCTAAAAGTAGCTCTGTATAGAATAACGGGTGATGGCAAAGCCTCCAGTCGGAAATTAATTGCTTCTTCCAACACCTTTTTGACAGTGTTCGCCACTACTGCATCAATCTCTCATCTAGCCCTAGGAAATAACTCAATCCGGACCTCTCAATTACTCTAATACTTTCCTCTTCTACAACCATGAGTGTATCAAGCCTCGGAAGCTGATCAATCCTCTTACAGCAGCGACACTTGCAATGCATGTGGATGGTGTCTTGATTATATGTCCTCGCTTGCAGCAACTTCAACAATAGTATTCCTCTTTGGCACCTCTATGTCCGGCCATGTTGTCCGAATGGTGTCTTCTCTCCCTTCGTGGCGTTGTTTTGTTATTGATCCCGAATTACCTCATCCGAAACCTTTCTTGATAGTTCGGTGCCGATGGTCAGTGAACACATTTTAGCCCTGGAGGACCTTGAGGAGGAAGTCAGGGAATAAGTTGGAGCTGTTGTGAACGGGGCATAATTGAGCGAGAAAAGGCTTTCTGGTTGACGATAGTCACTGCTTGGGTTGCGGTTGGGGGGATACATTCAAGGTGAACTATTACTATTATGGCACTGCACTAGGATGACTGTGTCTTTTTGGTTGCACAATCATCCAGGCCAAAGATTGTCTCCATCGGCCATTGTAGCCACCGACGATCCTCCTTACCCAAGCATTCCTCAATGCCCCCAATGATATGTTCAGCCCACCCTCGAGCAAACCACACCTTATCATGGATCTTCATGATCACCAGGAAATAAGCCAGCAGTACCAATGCCACTGGCTCTCTCCTCTGGAAAACACTCAGTCCAGGCTCAAAGCAACAGATCCAGTCATAAACCATCATCGCCAGCCTGCCAATCTTACATCCTGTATCATGTTCTTCCCCGCACATCTCACTGAACATCCGCTCCAACATAGCAATCGCATTAATATAACAGTGCTTCATAGTCCAGCCATTCACCTCGCCCTGCTCTTCGCTTTGAAGAATAACCCACTGTCTCAACCTCTCTAGCGTTCTCTGGTATTCAATTCCGGACACCTTGCCTCCCTCACTAATTTGAGATGAACCACCGTTCCCTACCCAAGACTTGAGATCCTTCGATATCCCACAAAGCGTCCTCACACCTCTCACCAAAGAAGGCCACTCCGCCATGTTTTCATGATGATCACCAATGGTGAAGAACAAATATTCCCCCGGTCGGGGACCCCGCGCCAGAGGCAAAAAACATAGAATCATAGCGCCCACCCACGCAGGACGGATATTTCCGGGGTTTATATCCCCGACGAGGGATGCGATCCCACGTAACCCTACTGCGAGATGCATATCTGCTCTATCCAGGAGCCAGGACCCATTTCCCTTTGGATCAGGAAGTGTGCTGTGGGAGGTATTTCTGGCTCTGTGTAGACCAGCTAGCGCGAGGATGAGATGCAGAATGAAGGGATGCGTGATTGCCAATTTAGGGGCTTCATCACGCCAGAAGTGGAGACTGCCGTCATCCTCGGCGAGAGTGTAGCAGGTTGAGGTAAGATAGTGGTGGTGGAGGGTGAAGTCCTGGAAATCAAATGTTGTAGGAGTGGAACTGGGCTTGGAAGAGAGTAGAGAGGCAGATAGGGGAGTGGATGATGATGGAGGAGGGGATTGAGTGCCAGTTAAACTCAAGGTCATCGAACTGGAAATAGAGTCGGGACTTGGGCGTTTCAATGTGGCCTGATACTCCGATGGGACAAAGATCCAGTTGGAAAGACGCTCCGATCTCCCCGATAGTTCAGATTGAACGGGTCTTGCAGATGGCGGTGGTCGGCTTGGGTCCGTTGAGAGAGAGTAATCGCAAATGACAGAGTGGTTCATGCAATTGGAACATTGTGGCCACAATTCATCACACTGAATCAGTCGTTAGCATAAAATCACTCACTAGAATGGAATGGAGAATCCGGGATCGGAAGGCCGCGGAAAAACCTTAATGTGTCGTCGTTTGCAGGTGCTGCAGCCTAATCGCGACTTCTGGTGCGACCGACGCGAGGGCTTGCGCTGGGTCAGCTTGCTTATTGTCATTGATTCTGGATCGCTCTTTGTTATTGTTGTCGAGTTGAACATGGTGCTGGTTGGGATTGGAGGATATGTCGATGAAGCAACCTTAGGCAGCTCCAAGGGCAGCTCCAGCCCGGTGGCTGTGCCAAGGAATCAATCTTGGCTCATCTGATGGCCCACACCTTGGCCCTGAGCAACATATTGGGACCATTCTCGAAGCTGGATGCTTTTATATGGTGGCTAGGATATAGCTAATTATGGTAATTCTAGCGCTTGCAATATCTGCAAGACTTCTTTCTAATATCCAGCCATCTTATATTCAGATCGATCAACGGCTTTCGGGAGCCCGCGGAGTGTAAATCAACCTGATCCGCACCAATCAGTGCACTGAATTACTTCGCTTACCCGAGATACTAGATTCTAGCTTAGCGACGACTTGGTTCAGGCAAACTACCAGTTCTTGTGCTGCTCAGCATATCGTTCAGAAAGGACTTACGTGGGTGAATGTAGGAACCTGCTATCGTAAGCTAGTTCAACTCATTGCTGGGAGCACTGTTCCGTGACCGGCGATTAAAACGGCAAACCACATAATCTGAATGCAATACACATGGGCGTGCAAAGCTGGAGCGGTGTCGTGACAGAAGGAATTGAGACAATCTTGGGGTCTTACCAATCCTTGTGCTCTTTTACTTGCTCTGGAGCTATAATATACCATTACGAGGAGACGCACAGTTGGTTATACTAGCTGGCAGGTTAGGAAGCACGATAGGTCCTGTAAATGTTCGAGAGCACTGACAACTTGGCAGTGATACAACAGCTACCATCCTCACGGCCGCGATGTACCAACTGGTACAGCATCCAGAGCAGGTGCAGCGACTTCGTGATGAAGTTTCCCTGTACGTAACAGATCCGTCGCATGAGTTCTTACATGAAAATATAGCCAACTTACCACATCTCAACGCAATCATCAACGAGACTTTGCGGCTCCACCCGCCAGCCGCGGCTTCGTTGCAAAGGAAGACTCCACCAGAAGGAATCACCATCGAGGGGGTCTACATCCCGGGTAACATGACGGTTATGTGCCCGCAGTATGTGCTAGGCCGTGGTAGGTCCGAGTCCTCGCGCACATATCATACATAGGGCTAATTGCGTATATGCTATAGATGAAGAGGTCTATGAGCGTCCTAAGGAGTTCTTTCCCGAGCGCTGGTATCTACACCCAGAGATGGTGAAGCAGAGAGCCGCTTTTGCCCCGTTTTCGCTAGGTTAGTCGAGCCAGATCTCTTTACCCGTAGGGCGACCGATGCTGACCAACACCTCATTAGGCCCGTATGGGTGCATTGGCAAACCCCTGGCTTTGCTGACTCTCCGCAACACTTTGGTACGGCTGGTCACGATGTTCGATTTCGAGTTCGCACCGGGAGAGGATGGGACGGCCTTTGAGGGCAAGGCGAAAGATCGGTTTACAATGGGTTATGGAGATTTGCAGAGACTCTTCCGGAAGAGAAGCGACATAGGATCCTAAGTGAATATGGTGCGCAAATTTGGTCTACTTACAGCACTGAATGTACCAATACATGGACTAATGTATGTAATTTGATTTGAGATGACTCCGCGTAAATGCACCACATATTCTTATAGCGTGATGCGATGGGGTCCATCATATCTATTCTTTAGTACAATGTACTAAGAATTAAATCTATTACCCCGATCGAGCTCCATCCTGAGTTGTGAAGTTACTTGCGTGAAGAAAAGTTTGGAGCCCAGCGGGTATATTCAGCCTAGAATGGGTCTCGCTCGCTGTTAGGATATCGGTGAGGTTGCACTATCAAAATCCCATTAACTACTTAATGGTTCCATTCCGTAGTTTTAGTATTCCTGGATTTAGGTCACGCGGTATGACGCATGAATGTTCCCATCCAGGAACCTGGAGTTAAAGTTTGCCGCCTCCCCTGATAGTCATACAATGATGTAATGAGGCGTTCATCCCTGGTAATAACAAGCAGCAGAGGAAGAGATGAAAGAGAACGATAAACTAACATAGATATGGATTATTGCGAACAAATTCAACCGGCAGAGCTTTTGTTTAAGGGGTGCTGTGAGAGCGATCACCGTTAGATGCTTATCGATTTCGCATCTTGTTCACACTATAGTTTCACCAAACCGCGGAGATGTAACCCTTAAATTGACCGCCATAAGGCTACAGGAAGTAAAGTAAAAACACAATTAGTACTTCAGCCACCATTTTAACACAATATGTGCGATATTGTAGCTGAGAGGTTATCGCTGCCCCGGAAACATATCATGTCCAACTACTATCCTAGCACACGTAATATAAAGATCGTATTTCCATTATCCTTGCCACGTAGGATCTTGTGCTTATAATGTTATATAATTAGCATTATAATTATTGAGCATGTAACAGCAAAATCATCTTCCAAACTTATATCTTGGAAGTGTCAGCTGCCCAGCCCTTGCGTCGATGATGACGGCAGCTTGACATATGTACATCCTTGGCGCATGAGCTTCAAAACATCTCATTTTCCCCAACTCAGACGAAGTAATGTCTGCTATCAGAACAATCATTTTAGGTATACACTTGTTTTAATTAACGGGGCTGGAATATACATATCTTCTATTGCCGGACAAAAAGACCTAAGATTGAATATAGACGGGGAGGTTCACCGCGTTGGGAATAGTAGAGCCAGGATGTTATCGCGAAAGCTCAGAACAGCACTGCTTTATCCTCATCTTCCTACGTTTGGCATTTCAGGCCTGAGATTGCCGGTTGGAAAACCCTTGTGTCGCGTCGCAATATCGAACTTCAGACGGTCTATGGCCGGACAGGCCCACGTGAAAGAAAGGCTGCCTCGAAGTGAAAAATCCCATGAGCGATTCAGAGAGTTTTCGCTTGATGGGAAAGTATTTGCTGTGACGGGTGGTGCAAGGGGGTTAGGGTTATCAATGGCCGAGGCATTGGTCGAAGCAGGTGGACGAGGTGAGATGTTTGTTCTCTTCACTCACAACAGTTGGGCCCCCCATGACTCATGTCAACGATACACAGTATACTGTCTTGACCGGCTTCCCCAACCAGAGGAAGAGTTCCACGCGGCAGAGGCGCGCGCAAATCCAGATTTTGGGGGCTCTTTGCACTATAGGCGCATGGACGTAACCGACGACGCAAACACGGAAGCGGTGATGGCCGACATCGCAGCACAAAATAACCGCCTAGATGGTCTTGTTGCAGCTGCGGGAATAAACTATGTTGCTAGTGCGATCGATCATACACCTAAGAGTATTGACGACGTGATCCACATCAATTATACGGGCGTCTTCCGCAGCGCCGTTTCAGCCGCGAAAGCTATGCTGAATATGAAGTGCCACGGCTCCATTCTCCTTGTGGCAAGTATGAGCGGCATCATTGCCAACAAGGGCATGGAGTCTGCCGTTTATAATTCGTCCAAGGCGGCAGTTATCCAGCTGACGCGGAGTCTGGCTATGGAGTGGTCTGAGGTCAAGAAAGATGGCACGGGCGGGATTCGTGTGAACTGTCTCTGTCCTGGGCATATTGAGACGCCAATGGCAAAGATGGTTATGGAGAAGGATCCGGATACTCGAGATCTGTGGACGTCTGAGAATATGATGAAGAGGCTAGCGAGGCCGGAGGAGTTTAGGGGAATTACTCTGTTGCTTATGAGCGATGCTTCTAGCTTCATGACTGGTAGTACTGTAGTTGTCGATGGTGGGCATACAGCTTGGTGAAGGCTTGTCTATATAGAAGTGGTTACCTTATACTCTGTTTTAGATCATTGCCATAATTATATTACCTTTCACTAGAAGAAGTGCAGTGCCCCCCTGCAGCACATCACACAATGTATCGGTCGACCCTCGGCGGCGTTTACTGATACCTGACTGACAAAGGGTATTTCTTCTCATTGACTCCAAGGTGGTGTATATGTATTTTAATTCAGGCCAGCATTGTGGGAAGGTAGTAATCGATGTCAGGTAGTGGCTGGGGCTTCATTAATCCGTTCTGTTCAATGATAAGACTTTAATATTATATTAACAGCGAAATCATCGACTTCGAGGTGCTCAGGCAAGGCGCATCCGCGGCCATTCTATGCTTTGCCATACCGCTTTCACTTAACCGGATCAGATGGCATTGATTAGGTGACTAGGAATCTGTCAGATGGCAGGAATCAAGTTGAAAAACTTGAAGATGGATTGCTATGCTATGGCTATAGATCACACCAAGAAGAACATTGAGCACAATAACTATGAAGAACTGTTTCACTTCCATACAAATCATCAAACCATGAAAACATCATAATCCAATATCTTGCATCATCTGACCGGCGCATCAAGTCCGGACTGCCCATTTTGATGTATCGCCGATGGGATCTCCAAGGAACCATTGCGCAAATGTTTTGAACCCTTCTGTGTTCAAATATTGAAAATCATAGGGTTCAGTGCGGCGTACTACCAGCTCCTGTCCATCAAAGTATGCCTCAATGACGCGTGGACGCCGTCGATTCAACGAAAATAGTAGAACCTAGCAACATCATCAGTCCTTCATTTATCTGAAGACAAGGCAATAAAGGATAGTGTTACCGGTGCGATCATATCATTTACAAAGATCTTCTGCTTCAGTTGGCCCAGCATAATGCGGATGACAGTTAACACCTCCCCACGGAGGAGGTAGTTGTCATCAGAGTCGAGGTTGTTGTGCATGATGCACTTGATATGCGGCCTTGAGGACTCTAAAACATGCCAGATCGCCAGCGATCCGAATTTAGGGTCGAAAGTTCGGTAGAGGTCTCCGAAATCATAATCTCCCACCCTGGCGGAATAATCAGCCGGGAAACCCAGTTACAGGATTGAAGACTTACTGCTTACACGACCACGTCCGCCAAACCTCAGGATATTTGACCAGTAGCTTGTGGATATACGCGTCAAGGTAAAGGTAGATAGACCATCCCCATTCGCCTGGTGACAGCGTAGAAGATGTGTTGTACTCGTGGTCGACATACTCCGCCGTAGGTTCCGGCATGTTTTCTGGAACGAAAGGGGTGAAAAACTTGGGTGCGCGAGCGTCTTGAGCATTGAGACTTAGCGGTAATGCTCGGACTTTGTACCGTTTCATGATACCCTGATCAAGAACATGGGTGTCTGTCTCTCTGAGTAATTTGATATCCCTTTCCATGAGGGCCAGGGCCTTGCGGAGATTGTAACGGTCTCTTGGCTCGGTGGCGCGATTCATGGTGATGAAATTAAACGATGACAGCGCAGTGCAGTGAAAAGTAAAATATTGGAGTCAGCGCAAATGAACGAAATATCTGGCCTACATTAAGAAGAAAACAACTTTATAGTTTCGTTCGCGATCGACTAGTGGGGAGAGTAGGTCTTCCCCTTCGCGCCGTTGCAGCCGCCGGGGGCACAACTCGGGTTGCTCCCGTGACATGCCCGTGACCGGCTGTGACCAATCGGGAACGTTTTAGCTAACCCGGTCCATCCAACATGTAACAAACTACCTGGTCTGTTATAAATCAGCGATCTTTCTTGCTCTTCTAATTAGATCGCTAAATGACATTATTATTGTTCCATGAAGGCGGATCATGCTATAGTTAGCATCTACCAGCGGTACTAACCCTGGGTCAATGGTTCATTCGCCCGGTAAGCGCTCAATAACGGCCCTGTCGTGGACTGGATGGGTGTCTACGTAACCCCTCAGCGTCAAAATAACTCTCGCGGAGCACTCTCTACGAATCATAGTGAAATAGTATACTATTAATACATGCGCTCCGACAATCAATGTCACATGTTAAAGACATACATGATCCTTCTCATTGAATTGACAAGATCTGCCTGCCACGTACCACCTTTAAGCGCTTCAAGAATAACAATATCAGGGCGTAGTACATACATGCTGCTCATTTGCTGGACATTGGTCATATTACAGAATAAAAGAGCAGCTGTCACTACTAAACAGAAAAGGTTCCATATCCATTTATCCCCCTCAGGAGGACCAACAAACCGAACGCCTACCATCAAGCCTCCTTCTTTAATCCTGCGTACTACGTACCACTTAACTCTTATTCTATTCCGTCACCATGGCCGACGCAAGAAAGGTCATTCCTCAGTCCCCTGAAGAATGGTTGAAGGAAGTCAAGCACCTGGATCTTGATAAAGTCACGATCCATGATGCGCCGCTCAAGTCGGCTTCGCGTGCAGAATTCGAGCAATTCCTCCTTCTCCGAGTCGTCTGGAAGAGCTACGATTCATCCAAATTCCTGAGGCGCGTCGACTTGAGCCAAGCGCTACCAGATGCCCGCACCAGATTAAAAGGTCTCGGGTCCTGGACCAATTACAAAAACAGCTTTACCGGTCCAGTTCAGCAAGGAACGTTTGCATTGGCACGCCATTACCAACTGCAGGTAACGAGGACCGATCAGGACAGCCCGACTGGTAGTGGTGTTCAATTCACACCCGTAGCCCACAGGACGCGCTCGAAGCAGCAAACAGGCCAACCTCCAGCCCAACCAGACTTCACGAAATCGCCTCCTACCAATCCAGATCCTAACTTTGATACTGCCCTTCTTGATGACGAGTCTGATTCAATGTCAGTCGTCTCCTCACCACTGGTCCGCACTCCATGGAGCCCTATCCGTCCGGAAGATGAATTTCTGTATCCCCCAACAAAGGATGAACAGATCGTCAATACTGCTCTCCTGACATTCCTCGATTCTCTCACGTTGCATTTCGATCTCTCCGTTGGCTGGTCGATACATCGTATGGCTTTTAAAGCAACATTTACCAACATGGAATTCCAGGCCAGGACAGACGGTTATCTCGCTGACAGCAAGGGGGACATTAAAGCCATCGTCGAGGTCAAGCCAGTCATCAGAAATAATAAGGAAACGCAGATTCGTATACAGGAAAGCCACCAGATTGTTGCGAACTTATTGGCAGACTACACATCTCCCCATGTGCAGCGCCGGAATAAACCGTGAGTGGATAGACATACAAGGTCATGGTTATATAATGGATGGTTCAAGCTGACTGTTGATATCATATTAGCCATCGCCTCATCATATCGCAGGATAGGCACGAGATCTACATATCTGTGGCGGAGTATGACGATAATTACATTGACTATCTCCAGACTGGGCAGACTCGCAACAATCCATTCCTAGTCATGCATCAGTACGGCCCTTGGGACACTCTTAACCCTGATGCAATGGACGATCTTGGTCCGATCATACTAGCACTCACAGCCATTGCCCAGACCTACTAGGTATTTGTATTCATCCACCAGCAATCTCCAATGAATACCTGTTTCATGTTAGTTAGTAGCCGTTGAATGCTGGAGACAGCTAGGCCGTTTTCATTGTCTCTATTTCTGAGACTATTCTGCAATTTGCCTTTCCTTTTATTACTTCTATCACTTCTACCTGTGTATCTGCTGCGATTACTGGAAACATCATTGCCTGGTCTGATAGCTTGCATGTTTAATTTCTTTCCCTCCCTCCC